GGTTATAAGGCTGTAAAAATTCTCCTGTTCTGAACTACATTCCAGGCTATTCAGGAGCAAATACCTCTGTGCTTGAAGGAAAAAGGGGATTCTTGTTTGTCCTGATTTCTCCATCATAACTGATTTGAATGAGGGTCAGGTTAAGGCAATCTGGGGCGCTTAGAGACCCACTGGTGACCACCACCCGTGGCTCTGATGCTCTATAGTGATCATGGCAGTGAACTCTCTTCCCATTGCAAGGGGGAACAAGAGGTGCAGAGAGGTTTTACTGTATCTGTAAGAGTGGCATCAAGGAGAGTGGGAGCAAGAGGGAGGACAGCTTCCCTTGGCCATGGGTTATCTTCACTACTGGCTTCAAGTCGATCTCTCTTTCCCATTCTTTGTCCTTTCCATCTGAGAGGGGTGGACCTTGTGCTGAAGGATGGGTGTCAGTGGAGCCCAAGAGCATTTAGCTGTGCTGGGAGGAATGGGGCACCGCACACTGCTCCAGGCTCTCTGCATGCTCCAGACAACATGCAAATGACATTTTCCACATTTTTCTTTTTCTAGACTCGGTGGAAAAGACAAAAATCTCCTATTCTTCACTCATTGTGTATGCAGGTGCTGAGGAGATCACGTTGTACTCTGACTTATCCACATTTACTTGGCAGGATGAAGGCCTGGAAATAATAAGTCTTTAACCAGGGGTTCAGCTTCCCAAATCCTATGATGAGTCCCTTCCCACAAAACAGGAACAAAATCTGACCTCCTGTCATGATAGACATTGTCATTTTCATAATTTTTTTGTTATATGGCATAGCAAGTACTTCTGCCTCTAGTATTAAATGTTGTAGCTCATGTACCTTTGAGAAAAAATTATAAGATCAATCATTGTGGGACTGGCCTATAGATATCAAGATGCTAGTTTGAAAATTCATATTCCCCAAGAGGCCTGTTCCTTAATGGTGGGTTTAATAACAAATGAGGTCTGAAAATGGTATTCAGACAGGGAACTGTCTTCTACATCAGCTCTTAAAAAAAAAATCACGTGATTTTTTTAAAGTCATTGTAAAGTGACTCTCCCACCTCCACGATATTGCTCTAATATCTCTTGGAAAATATAGTATTGGCATTGCACTGCTGCTTCTGCTCCGAGCCAGTGATGCAGGTGGCCTGATGTGCCACCTCTGAGGCCAACAGTAAAATATCTTGCATGTAAGTGGGGGCAGGATCTTTAGAAAGTTGACAGAGGGAACCAAAACTGAAAATCTGTCCCTAAAGCCTTGGTTTGGCAGTGAGACTGCCCAGCTCCTATTGCTTTCCTCGGACCGTAGCTCTGACTCCACCTCAGGTCCACGGCTGTCCCTGCTGATTTTCCTCTGTTTGTTTGAAGAGGATGCCAAACTCGACTCAATTCTCAACTTTGAATTTGTCCAGGTCAGAACTTTTCTGGAGTCTGCCAGGCTTCCTTTGTGCCTCTTTTACGTGCCTCTTACTCATGGCCAGGCCAGGTAGAACGTGGTGCATTTGCAGGGCAGACCCCTGGGACCTGCCTGTCCCTCCAGTTTGATGGTTCCTGGGAGCTGTAGTCAGGCAGCAGGCAACGAGGCAGGTCCTAGTTTGCACTATATGACAGTTGCACCAAGAAAAACCCAGGCCCAGGCTAGTAAATCATATTTCAAGGTGACCAAAATAGAGCTTTTGGGTCCCTCGAGGATCTGTGTCACTACTGGTTGTAATGAATGGTCTAAAAGGGGATTGCAGGCAGCAAACGTGACGGCGGCATAAAATGATTAAGAGCAATAAAAACTGGAGGAGAATTGACAAAATCAAGAGGGACCTAATAAAGCTGGATAAATGGGCAATGCAGCAGCAAATGGAATGTAGCGTTGCAAGAAAATTGACGCCGGAAAGAACGATGTTAACTCTTTTTATGCATTCTTGAGTTCTGCATTTTGCCCTGAAGAGATCCGGGCTCGTGACAGACAGAGCCTGGAGATGGCAGGTCACGCAATCTGCCGAGGCGAGGCAGAGCTGGGTGGTAGGAAGGGAAAAGGAAAATGTCAGAGACAGTAGTGTTTGCCATGGTCATTCATAAACCCAAATGTAGAGCAGAGGGCTTGAGCAGGTCATGCCTAAGGCCAGGCTCTGAACCCCATGGATAAATCCCCAGAGGCCAGGCTGTTAAGTGAGAGAGAGAGAGGTGCCTCCAGAGGGCCATGGCGTCATACAGATGGCCAAGGCAGCGGGAATGAATCACTATTTGTCAGCTCCATTAGTTAGCCAGAGAACCTAGATGGGTTGCTTAAGCCAAACACTCAATTTTCAAGTGGCTGAAATTAGTAAAATGACGTACACTCTTTGTTATTTTTTTTCTCCGAACCATTTGTTCTCAGCCACAGCTGAGACTAGAGGATTGTTCCTGGATGGTAAGTCCTTCTGTTTTCTCCTGGCAGCTGTGGAAAAAAAAAAAATGTCATTAGAGGAACAAAATGAATATTGATAAAAGCTCTATGCACTCAGACCGGCCTTGGAGCACAGTGGGACTGGGAACACTGGTGAGGGCATATGGGATCTGTCCTGCCCCTCTGCCATTTCTGTCCTTATGCCAGGACAGTGGGTAGAGTGTGGGTCCCACCAGGACTGGGGCTGTCACTCTGAGGTGTCTGCTGGTGTGGCAAAGCCCAGTCCCCCCACCGTGGCAGGCTGAGCAACCTGGCTGTAAGTCACCAGCAGGTTTTATGTAGTGCCACAAACGTTCATGCACACTGCCAGGGCTGGCCTTGAGGAGTCCCAGGGCGGGCGAATGAGGACCTGATGATCAGCATGCTTGTTTCACTGCCAGCCTGTGGCACCATACACTTCTTTTTGGCTCAGAGTCTTCTCCCCATTCTACTTTGGGCCAGGCCTGCTGAGCCCTGATGTGTCATAAATGGATCTTCTTTATATCTCATCAGTAAAAACAGAGCGTTCTTCAGTTTCGTTTGTGGGAGGGTGATAGATGCAAGTGTTGGCTGTTTGCATAGAGATTTCACAGACTGCAAAAACACTGTCACCTGTTCCATAAAATGGGGAAAAAAAAAAAAAAAAGAAACAGGCTGCCAAGTGCCTACCAAACACCAGCTGGTGAGTGTCACAGCATCAAGCTGTCCAGCTATTGACTGTGCTCACAAGCTGAGGCAAACCTGAGGCTAATCAGGTATCCTGATGGTGCCATGCAGGTTAGGAAGGTGGGTTCAGAGCCCTCTCTCCCTGCAGGCTCCCCTGGGGTGCCAGTGCAAGCACCTAACAAAAGTGCTGTTGGTCCTTTCCCCACCGCATGGTACACAACCCGGGCAGCTGGTCTCAGCTACTGCAGAGCCCATCTTGTAGAAGCCACTGCTGGGGGCTTCTGTGGAGCAAAACCAGACCTTGGAGCAGCTTGTTCTGCAAAAACCGTCAGTAAATGCAGTCGTTGTCCTCAAGTCGAAGGCAATATGATGCTGGACTGCATTTCTACCCCTCTTCCTACAATGGGAGAAGTATACCATTGAGGTGTCAAGACATGAAGAACTATCCAGAGGCTTTTTGTAGACTGTGACTAAAGGGAGAAAGAGCCAGTAATGGTCTGAAAATACCAAAGCATAGCTCTACAGAGGGTCAAAGTCATTTGTGTGGATTGCAGGCTTGTATGGCAGCAAGGCATACTTGCTTCATACTTCCCAGGGAAGGCCTTCAGCACAGAAGGTATTGATGCAGTGGAAGATTGCCTAGAGAGGTTATAGAGCCTTAACAGTTGGGGGTTTTAAGAATAAGCAGGCACCTGCTTAAAATATATAAAACTGATGATTAATTCAGACAGGGAAGTGGTGGAATAGATGTCCTATCTTCCTTCCTGCCCTATGTTCTGTGATTCCTGTTGCATCGAGAGGCAAGGGAGCTCTCAGAAGTCTCTCAACAGCAGTTTTGTGTCCTGTGCGCCACTTCCTTGACCACGGTGGCTGCAGATCTTTGTCTAGTGTTATAAAAATCGATATGATATATGAGAGTAAGTGCTACGGGATGAGTAAAAGCATCATTATCACATAATTTTCAGGGCTTTTTCTGCAATGGTGTAAGGCAGGTTCAGGTGGTAAGCAGAATCCCTGGCATATGATGTTAGTGAAGACACGCATTTTTCATCGCGTCAGATGAGCAAATGTTGGAGAAGTCACTGAAACTTTTTGTCCTTGCTGGCTGCCTGGCTCTCCAGGGGTGCATGACTTTGTACAAGTCCATGGAAGCAAGGCTCTTGTCTTAAATCGGTGCAGCCTCAGATTAGGCAAAGGAGAGACATCAGTGTTCTGGCCACATCTGCAACAGAAACTGAGCACAGTGTGCACGTGATAAAAATGTGGTAACTAGGTAGTTATGTCTGCACATCTGTTCTATGGGTGATTTGAGATGGAGAAAGTCCTTAGGCAAAAAGAAATCTGCAAACGCCACTGCAAACTGTTCTGCTTTCAGAAGCCTTTTGCCACCTTCCACAAAATTTGTGTTAGTGTCATTTCCCTGGCCCTTAGACAAGATAAGATCCAGGCTCGAAACTCTGATTGCAAAGTAAGAATGACCATAATTAGATATTGCATGTTACAGTCTGTCATGTCTCTGAAGGTGTGAGATTCTGTCAGGGCTGTGTAACTGGTTTCCAAGCTTCTCAATGCCCCAGCCATAACGTTTCAAAAAAATCAGCCAAGATTTTCTTTTGATTTCAGCATGTTTGGAATAGAAAAGTAACTAGTGGGCTGCACTTGGACTGATCCACCGCTAAGGACAATGTCCAAGTGAACAACCGTAAAAGAAGCAGACAATCTGCTCAAACCTGTGAACTGAAGGCTTATCTCCTTGACACAATGCTGATGAACCATTTTTTCTTGACGCTTAAGGTGTGTAAAGCCACAGATGAGCACTGACTGCTGCGTGCAAAGTAGTCAATAAATTTCCGTCAGACTTTCCCTTCTGTTTAACTTTTATTAAAAGAGGTGCTAAGGTACTGTACTTCAGCAGTACATCATATTTATTACCAAAATTAACAAATATACAAAACTTATACATGTAATTTTCTTACATCCATTTATTGGTCTATAATACTGCATTTGTTCAAGTAGGTTATCTACAGTATGTAAACATCCCTTGGATTGACCTCACACAGATTAGGAAAGCCCATCTAACCCATGTAGTTACCAAATATAGCTTTTCCTTTTTTTTAAAATTTATTTGGCTTTCATTGGTAGAATCTAATCTTCACATTTGGCACATGGAAGAGACATCTACAGTGCAAAAGAGGCAGATTTTCCAGTTTTCTTCTGAGCAGTTTAGCGGAGTCATGGTTTTAAAGAGCCGAGAATAAATTTACACAAACTTGATAGGAGATGGATTAGTGTTAACGCCAATGACTCACAGATCAGCCATTAAACTAGAGCAGAAATTCAAAGCCTCTTCCCCAGCCCTCTCAGCCAGGTGGGAAAAAAACCCTCAGCCTTGCTTCTAAAGGATTAAAAAAGGACTCTGTTAGCAACAGAGAGAGGAGGTTTAGTTTACAAAAAGCCCTCTGAGATTCCAGTTTCAATTTTCTGCTTTGTGGGATTTTTTTTTTTTCCTTCTTGTTAGCAAGCAATTTTTTTCTTTCCTAATGGGGGAGAATAACCAGTGGGGAAAAACATTTCCGTGCTGGCAATTTCTCAGCGAGTCGGAGATTACAGTTGGAGTTTGCAGATCTTTGAACCCAGACATACAGAGCTCAGTAAGCTGCCGTGTACAAGGGAGAGAGAAAGGGGGAGAGACAGAGTCATGTCATTATATTCCAGGTGTGGAGCTTTCCAATTTCACTATAAAAACCAGGAAAAAACTTCCTTCCTTCTGCTTCTTGCTGTTTCAAAAATGTGACTTAATTTAACTGAGTAAAGCTGATCCAGAGAGACAGACCTTCATTCGCACCCTTCTTCCCATTCCCATCCAAGCACCGTATTGCTATTTTTCAGGAGGCCTCACCCATGTCCATGGAAGCATCTGATGAGAATGGACCTAACCGGACACCACTTGGCACGGAGACGCCTTGGCCGCTCGGCGTCCATTACCACAGAGCCCCGCTGCTGTCCGTGGCACCGTACATCTCGGCCAGCTTTTTGAAGCGCGGCCCCCAGTCCGTCAGGTAGTCGTAGCTCTGGTCTGAGTCCGTCGTCACCGACTGCAGGGAGCTGAGCGACTCCGCCACCGAGCCGTTCCCTTCAAACATGTACGTCTGCAGGGAGTCAAAGGGAGGAGCCCACAGGTCCATGTCAGCTTCGTAGAGCTTGGCGAGCACGTAGTTGTGGACGTTGTTGTCCGTGACGCACGCCTGAGGCACGTAGCGGGAGAGGCTCTCTATTTCGGGGAGCATGTCCTGCCGGCTTTTCACCGCCAGCTGGGCTTCCCGCGGGTTCCACATGGCGGCGATATCGAAGGCCTCCGTGTCCTCCTCCCCGCCGCCCTCGTCGCCGTCCCTGACGATGTTCTCGTGGATGTTCTCCTCCTCGTCGATGATGTACGGCTGCTTCCGCTGGCGCCGCATGGAGAGGATGAGGAGCACCAGCACTGCGGGAGGCAACCAAGACACAGGGTGGTCAGCGAGGGGGCCGATCTCGCAAGGGCTTCAGGCTCCCTGCTGCCCCGTTTTCCTCTCAGGGCACCCAGCCAGCCCCTTGGATTTAAAGACGTGTGGTGTTTGCATGTGGACGGGCACCGAAAACCCTCCCTTCCGTCAAAATTAGTAGCTCGAGGTCCTGCTAATCATAGACTCATAGAATCATAGAATGGTTAGGGCCGGAAGGGACCTTCAAAGGTCATCTAGTCCAACCCCCCTGCAACAAACAGGGATATCTCCAACTAGATCAGGTTGCTCAGGGCCTCGTCCAACCTGGCCTTGAACGTCTCCAGGGATGGAGCATCCACCACCTCTCTGGGCAACTTGTTCCAGTGTTCTACAACTCTCATGGTAAAAAATTTTTTCCTAATATCCAACCTGAATCTACCTCCCTCTATTTTAAAACCATTACCCCTTGTCCTATCACAACAGGCCCTCCTGAACAGCCTCTCCCCATCTTTCTTGTAGGCCCCCTTGAGGTACTGGAAGACCGCTATAAGGTCACCCCGGAGCCTCCTCTTCTCCAGGCTGAACAGCCCCAACTCTTTCAGCCTGTCCTCATAGGAAAGGTGCTCTAGCCCTCTTATCATCTTCGTGGCCCTCCTCTGGACCCTAATCTGTGCGGTTCCTCACCTTACTCCGGAACTCTTGGTGGCACTTAGGACACGTACATCCAGCAGTGCTTGCAATGCACTGTGGCGACACTCTAGCTACTTCTGAGCTAGCCAGATGAGGTGTCAGTAAGAGTGTACCTGCAGCAGCACGCAGCTCCATAGAGGTATTTTTTTCCTGCTGCGTAGCTGGGTTTCCCAGTTGGCCTTGGGGATGCCTCTTGGGCTGGGCGCTGCACGTGGCATGGATAGATGGATGGTGCTGAGGCACCAGGGTGATATGTCTGCCTACAAAGCGCAATGCAGAGCTAGCCTCACAGTCTGCTCCAAACATCATCTGTCTTGGGCCAGGTAGACCTACTGTCAGTTGCTCTACGCTCATGGGATGCAGATGCTCCTTAGCATGGGGAGAAAGGGTCATACAAGCACCAGAGCCCTTTACTATTGGAAATGGGCCATCACCTGGTGACTGTATTTCCAGGGCTAGAACTCAGCAATGGTTTTGAGTGCTGAAATTTTGAGCTGAGGTATCTAGGCTCCTTTGAGGAGCTTTTAAAGAATTTTTCCTTCGGGTGCTCCTCAAACTGGGTCCTCTGAAATTTCAGGGAATGTATGTTTTGAACTAATATCTCGTGACTCAAGAGAGTGAATAAGGGAACTGAAGTTCTTCTGATACCAACAGCTAACAAAGGACACAGAAGGTGCAGGCGAGGAAAGGATGAAAATTATTTGTGGAGGCAGGACACATGCAAGATGCTCAGCCCCTTTATAGCAGCACAGGCACCATTTAAATGTTGTGTCTCAAGAGAAAAGGAAGGATGTGGGGATATCTCGTGCTAAAAGACGTGAGGTGGAACTGGGCTTACCACTCCTGTTTCCTTTGGGAGCACATAATCAGAAACTGCTGAGGATGACAAAGTAATCTGTTCTCAGCCACAGCTCTCAGCACTTCCTCCTGGCATACCCCTTTCAGGAAAGCAAGGCCATACCACACACCCTGGCACTTCTGATGGCCTCCAGAGCTTTATCCCATCGTACCCTACCAAGTGGATCCCTGAAGAGGCCCAAGTCTGCAATCCTGAAGGCCAGGTCAGTGAGCTTGCTGTGTGCCCTCCTCACTGCCCTAAGGATCTTGAACTCCACCATTTCATGGTCACTACAGCCAAAGCTGCCCTTCAGCTTCACATTCCCCACCAGCTCCTCCTTGTTGGTGAGAACAAGGTCCAGCAACATTGGTTGCTCTATCACTTGGAGAGGAAGTTATCATCAGTGCATTTAAGGAACCTCCTGGATTGCCTATGCCCTGCTGTGCTGTCTCTGATCCCCTCAGAAAGGAGTCACTTACGACTCCAGTGCTGTCTCTGATCCCCTCAGAAAGGAGTCACCTACAACTCCAGCCCATCTTTTCTTCCTTGTGGAGGCGGTCGTGACACAGGGGTAGACCTTTCTGACCTTGGCAACTCCTCTGGTGTAGAGGCACCGTCATCCACATCATTCATTGACGGGCCTTCCACATCCAGAGCCTCACGCCTGTTGTACAGAGGCACTTGGGAAGGTGTATATCACATACATATGATATATCACACGTATATTATACACATGTAATATATACATAGATGCATGTGTGTGTGTGTGTGTGTCCTTCACCTTCAGTAGACCAGCAACACCCTGGCCAGAGCCGAAGAGTTCGTCCCCTCCCAAGAAGAAGCCAAGGGTTTACCTAGCAGGACAAAGATGCAGGCGAGGATGGCGATGAGTGCCCCTCTGCTCAGGCTGACGGGGAGGACGTAAGCCTCCGCGTTGCAGGACATCACCATGCCGTCGTCACCGCAGCTGCACACGTGCACGGTCAGCGTGCCCGTGCTGCTCAGCGCCGGGCGGCCGTTGTCGCTGATCAGGATGGGGAGGTAGAAGGTGTTCTGCTCGTGTTGGCTAAAGCCAGAGCGCCGTGTCAAAATCCACGCCGTGTTGTCTAAGAGCAGAAAATAAACGGGGAGAAGAGCTTATACACAGAGCAAGTATGTTCAGCAGAGAAGGAAGGTTAAAAAAATCAGTCCTAGACTCATCCATTCGTCTTCTCTCTTTTTTCTTTGTTTTTTTTTTTATTGTATTTTTTTTTATCAGTTTGCCACTAATCAGCATTTTGCCTCTGCCTCCCCTGTTCCAGTATCTTGTCAGGCTGGAGCTCCAAACCTGCAGGGCATACACACCTTAGGAGTTGCCTTTACCTCTTCTGACATAATGTGCCCAGAGCAAACTTGCAGCCTTCAGATTTAGCTAAAGGAGCTTTCAGAAGGCAAGACAGTAACGAGCAGTTGAGGGCAACTTGTTGTCCCTGTTTGTCCATGCTCAGCAGCTTTTTGAGACCTTGCTCTTAAGCGCTGCCACCAGTTTAGAGATGCTGATGTATAACCCTCGTGGACATGTTTAGGTGCTCTTTATGTTTTTTTGATGCATGGAATGGTCATCTGCTTGAGGCAACGAGAAGACAAAGGAAAAAAAAAGAGCTTTCTATCCTAAAGCAGCAGACAGTTGAAAATTTGCAACTAAGCATTTTTCAGTGAAATACATGTAATTTCATTGGCACTTTTGCCATTGAAAGAAGTCAGAATGCTTCATGTCATCATTGTCAGAATTGTTCTGCTTTGATTTGACCCTTCTGCTTCATTTAGTGTCACCGCCTGGTTTTTATAAGAACTTAAATCAAAAGGAACCAAAATGATGCTGCTGGAACAAAATAGTAAGAGAAGGATCTAACAGCCAGTCACTGTTGGTCATTTCAAGGGAAATTCCTACCTTTGTGGCTTTTTCCTGCATATTCAGCATGTTTTTTAAAATGTCAGAATTTCCCAGTAGCATTTGAATTCCTGTCTACCCTCTCCCTCAAATTCCTCAGGCCGTGCACCAAGTTTCCTAATCCAAAAGAAATTGGATTCAGGAAATTGTTCTTCTCTATTCTCATCTCAGGAACACCAAGGCAAAAAATCTTTGGAGATCAGTGATGGTTATGTCAGTGTTGACTTTCAAGCTTTTTGACCTCAGAGACTTCTGGAGTCTTCAGTGTGATCTGGACCACCAGGGAGTCTAAAGAAACTTGCAGGAAAACTGGCCCTTCTTACAAACGTGTCTGCAAATCTTGGGCCAGCAAAGATAAATGGGGAACACCGGTACTTCTGCTCTTTGGCAGACCCACATGCACTGATGCTGTGGGATTTTTGAGAGCCAAGGTTCATGCAGTTTCTTTTACTACTTAGTTTTGTTTCCTCTTCCCTTGATTCAGAAGAGGTCACAGTCTGGCCAGCTGCATCTCCAGGCTGTTACCAACCTACATTTGCTGTGCTTGGAAACACAGGATGCCAATCAGCTGTTCCCAGGTGGGCTGGCACAATGAAGCTGCTACCTGGAAACGGCGAGAAACCTTCTGATCACAAGTAGACTGTGAAAAAACCCAAAATATCAACAAGGGATTGTTCCATTTCCTTATTATTTCCCTGTCATTTCACTGCCAAAATTTTCATCTGGGGTGATCTTCAGCGCAGAGACGCAGGTTGCATGAAGGTAAATCAGCTGTATTATCTGCTGCAGTCTGAGCATCAGGAATGATGTGATGGCTTTTAGGAGTGGAATCAAGAGTGTTATATACAGCTAGCTATGGAACATGACCAAACTCAAGCTAGACTTGCTAGACTTGCCTGCTGGACTTAAATTATGCTCCGAGTTCCATACTTCGTGCTGCAAATGTTATAGCATCAGACAGTACTGGTGCACAGAAGTATTGAGACCTTGGTCTCCACAGTTTGTGAGATTAGTTTGAATTTGTGACAGGCTTTTAAAAGGAATCTCAGGGTCTTTTAATTCTTGCACATCAATGACATTTCAAGCCTTTACTCTGAAAGAGTAAAATTCTGAAGTGCGTGTGCACGTCTGTATGTGAATATGTAGTGAAATTGTAGCGTCTTGCCAAATCACGCGATCCCAAGAGTTGGAGCGTTGAGGAAAAACCACCAGGTGCAAGATGAAATCCCCAAATTTGCTTAAACCTGACCACGTGCCAGTGTTTACTGATTCACTGCCCTTTGATACACCATGCAGCTCTGCGTATGTGCGGTGGGTGAGGACAGACATAGATAATTTTCCAGAATCTGTCCCATAACCCAGCAGAGAGCAGCACCCTATGGCTCCCACAGCTCCTGGGCGAGGGATGTGCTCCGAATGGGAGCCCTCGCCTCCTGCAAACCCCCCGCTCCTTTCTCCTGGGGCACATGCAAGTGCTTTTTCTCCCTCAGGCTGTTTCTGTGCCCTCTAGTCTGTGCTCCCCAGCTACAAACACCGCATCTTTTCATCACTGGGCCTGTTTTAGCATGGGAAAAAGCAGCCTGAAGGGCAGAAAAATGGCAAGGTGCCTGCATTTATGCTGTGTCAATGGAAATGTCTGAGTCATCTTAACGGTGTAATAATTTGGTGGCATTTCCCTTTCCTGGGTGAAAACTCACTCTCTTTATGCTGACTTACAATAGAAGTCACAAATTCTATTCAGGTGATGGCAAACCTTAATTTTATGTAAAATTGCTCTTTGTGAGGGAAAAAGACTTCATTTTTCTGAGCTGGTCATACTTTGCCTGTAAAAGAAGTCACAGGCAGCGAATCTGACTGAAGCTGTGCAAAATCAGCCAGTGAGAGATCTCAAATGTTTTTAACCATAATTCTTTTTTTTTTTCAGGCCAAACTCAAGTTTCTGTAATCAAATATTGAAATATATATGTGTATAAATATTTTTTTTTGTTATGATGTGCTGACCATATCACCTAGGTCTCAAATGTTCTTGGTGATAAAATTCCCTTGGTGATAAAATTCTCTTGGTGACTCTCAGCATCCCATTTTGGCCCTTTGGTTTTGTTTTGCTTTGTACAAGGCAGGCATCCAAATCAGTCCTAAAGAGTCACTCTACCTGTGATAGCAATACGCTGGTGCCAAAGCTTGTTCTGTGACTCATCAAAAGCCAATGTGATTTGATGTGCTACTGCAGCGCGGAGGACATGCTGGGATGTGATGCAGCATGGCAGAAACTGGAATACACGATTTTATTCCAAATTCGCTATCTGCTAAGTCCCAGCATCAAGAGAAGAGGGCTTGTGAGGACATGAAAGCCTCATTATATTAAAAAAAAAAAAAAGAATGCACAATATTTTTCCATCACAGCTTAAAACACAGCATCTTTGGCTCGCAGAGGGCCGGATGGCAGCACAGAGCTACAGTGCTGAGCAGATACTGAAGATTGCAGCACGGTGGGTCCCACGTGTGATCAAGAGGAGGTGAAAGCTGTGCTTCCCATGGGCATGCAGACTGGAGTCTTCATGTGGTTGTGAGAGCCAGCCATGGAGAATCTCCTTCCTGCAATTCTCTGCCCAACTGGAAGTGATGTACCTCGCTGGAGAGGTCAGGGGAATTAACTGCTGTGTAGGTCCAAATCTGAGATGGGAGCTAACCACTGCTTTCCTCACAAAAATTGGTTTCTTTCTGTATGTGTCTGTACAAGAACTGAGGGTGATTAGCCCAGAATCAAAGAGGGTAGTGTCATAGAAGGTAGAATCATAAAAGGTAGAATCATAGAGGATAGAATCATAGAGGGTAGAATCACAAAAGGTAGAATCATAGAAGGTAGAGTCATAGAGAGTAGAATCATAGAAGGTTGAATCTTAGAAGGTAGAATCATAGAGGATATAAGCATAGAGGGTAGAACCGTAAAGGGTAGAATCCTAGAGGGTAGAATCATATAAGGTAGAATCATTCTGGGTAGAATCTTACAGGTAGAATCATAAAAGGTAGAATCATAGAGGGTAGAATCATAGAAGGTAGAACCAAAGAGAATATAATCATAGAAGGTAGAATCCGAGAGGGTGGAATCATAGAAGGTAGAAAAATAGAGCGTAGAATCATAGAAAGTAGATTCATAGAAGTTAGAGTGATACAGGGTAGAATCACAGAGTGTAGAATCATAGAAGGTAGAATCATAGAGGGTAGAATCATTCAGGGTAGAATCACACAAGGTAGAATCATAGAAGGTAGAATCACAGAATGTAAAATCATAGAGGGTAGAATCATTATGGGCAGACTCATAGAAGGTAGAAGCATAGAAGGTTGAATCATTGAAGGCAGAATCATAGAAGGTAAAGTCATAGAGGGTAGAATCATAGAGGGTAGAATTAGAGAATATAGAATAATTCTGGGTAGAATCATAGAACTTAGAATCACAGAAGGTGGAATCATAGAAGGTAGAATCATAGCAGTTAGAATCATAAAAGTTAGAATCACAGAAGATAGAAGCACAGAAGGTAGAATCACAGAAGATAGAAGCACAGAAGGTAGAATCACAGAAGGTGGAATCATAGACGATAGAATTGTAGAGGGTAGAATAATACAAGCTAGAATCATAGAGGGAGACAATGAAAGAGAGAGGGATAAAAATGCAACAAAGTGTGTGGGGAGGCTTCAGGGATACCTCAGGAAAAATGTTTTTGCGATGAAAAAGCAACAGCATGCTGTGGAGGAGGGCTCCATACTCTGCAGTTGGTGTCTTTTATGCTATGTTTGGGTAGTGTTGGCAGAGGCTTCTTCATTAGCCTCTGTGTTGCTCTTTCAGGTGCCTGCAGTCACGGGTGGGGGCTTATGGAAGTGTGACAAGTAGGCACGTGCGGGAGCAGGGGTAGGCACTCTGCTTGGAAACTGGCCGTGGATGCTGCAGGTGCCTTTCTCCTCTTTTTATTCTGGCATTGTTT